TTAAGGGGGAATTTTAGGAAACCCTGGACTCGGTGCAAAGGCCACGTGTCCTTCATCACAAAGTTGCCTCGGCTCGGAACTGGGTACGATTGGGGAAGGTCAGCTATGAGCACCCCCTCTCGCCCGATCCGAAGATCGGCCTCTACTAATCATGATATCCAGTTTTGAAAACGTTATGTGTTCTTATTCCATTTATTACCTAGAATTACTATGTTATGCGCGCAGCAAACAAGTATAGACTAAATCTGCCTAAATTGGAACAAAACATTGCATGTTCGTTTTAAAGATGGTTTGCTACTCGCAAGTAGGCTAAAATGCAGGTTTTGCCACCCTCGAGTGTGGCTTTAGAAAAGATGGTTTTGCCACTATCTAGTGGGCTTGAAACTCACAGTTTTAATGCATTATTCCAATTTAGGTATTCAACCCCCATCCACAGGGCATTCCAAAGCCTCACGTGCCATCTAGCCTCATAATCATACTATACGATAAGTGCAGTGCTACGAAACCCTCTCCGAATGGTCTGATAATCATGTCACCTCTACAATATGGACAGGTACAGATATCGTTAGCAATATGCAAAATGATATGCGATATACAAAACTATGTATAGTAATGCAGATGAAAATGCAATGCAATTGAATCATAATCAAATCATGAGCAGTTCAAAATCACACAAATGTCAAATAGATTGATGGAAGTAACAAGTCCGTCTACCATAGAAAAGGTGCCGCAACCCTCAAACCAACATACCAACGTGGAATAGGCGCGTACACATGCAGAACTATGAGTGATGTAGACGGACACAAGAACAGGTAATTGGGTGGAATGACATAGGTGGGGAAATGACCCACTGAAGAAAGACCAATGATCCTAATGTTGGATGCAAAAATTATACTACAATGTAATATATACAATGGATATGCGCGCGGGCGAAACCAGATCTTGCCTAGGAAAGGCATGTACTCAAACAAACCGCATCTAACACAGAAACGGTGCCGCAACCCTCAAACCAACATACCAGCGTGGAATAGGCGCGTACACATGCAGAACTGTGCTTTGATGTGAAAAGTGTGGGCACATACCAGACCAAGCTCAACATGGAAAGGCACAAGCCCTAGATGGAAGTGATGCGGTGAATGCATGCAAGCTACAATGCAACATATACAAATATGCAATGGAATGGAATATTTATAATGGATAAGGCATGCGGGCGAAACCAGATCTTGCCTAGGAAAGGCATGTACTCAAACAAACCGCATCTAACACAGAAACGGTGCCGCAACCCTCAAACCAACATACCAGCGTGGAATAGGCGCGTACACATGCAGAACTGTGCTTCGATGTGAAAAGTGTGGGCACATACCAGACCAAGCTCAACATGGAAAGGCGCAAGCCATAGGTGGGGGTGATACAGTGAATGCATGCAAGCTACAATGTAATATATACAATATGCAATGGAATGGAATATTTACAGTAAAATGCATGACATATGCAATATTTACAATGATGCATGACATGTGCATTTTTTGCAATGATGCATGACATATGCACTATTTACAATGATGCATGACATATGCACTTTTTACAATGATGCATGATATATGCACTTTTTGTTTTGTTTTGTTTTTGAAATACAAATGCGTGATGATGCATGATTTTGAAATGCGCGAAAATGTGCGGCTTTCTAGATGCATGACAATGCAGATGATGCAAGTGCGTGACAACTTACGTCTTTTGATATACATGACAATGCATGTGAACCTGAATGCGCAACCACGCGCGTCGTTTGAAATGCATGCATAATACAACTTATCAAAGGTCGTTCGGTCATGGCAAACACCGAAGAACTTGCATCTTTAG